CTGTGATTTTGATTTTCATTTCCCTGATGGCTAATAATGTTGAGCATCTTTTCAGATACTTACTGGCCATTTGTATATCTTCTTTTGATGTCTATTCAGATCCTTTGCTTATTTTTAAATTGGGCAGTTTATCTTTTTATTATTGAGTTCTTTATATATTCAAGATACAAGTACCCTATCTGATATATGATTTGCAAATATTTTCACCCATTTTGTAGGTTGTCTTCACTTTCTTGATTGCACTGTTTGTAGCACGAAAGCTTTAATTTTGATTGAGTTTAATTTGTCACATGTGCTTTGGGTGTCATATCTAAGAAGACTTTGCCTAACCCAAACTCACAAAGTCCCTCTGAGAAAGGCACTTTCTCTAGGGCAGTGGCTCAGCATGTAAGAATTATCTGGGTGGGATGCTTGTCTGATAAATGAAGACTCCTGGGCTCCATCCCCAGAGAATCTGATTGAACAAGTGCAGGGTGGGGCCTGGAAATCTGTGTTTGTAGCAAACATCAGTGTTGATCAAGTGTCTGTGGACCTGAACTTTGAGGATTGCTGCAATGTTTTTGTGGAGGATCCTTGTAGTTAGAACGCAAAAATTCGAAAGTAACTGCAGAACCAATTCTTGTCAACATGGCAGATTAGATATCCTATGCCCCCTCTTAAAACCCTAAAAATCCTAAATGTAGTATTAAAAAAAAACCCCAAAATACTATAACTGAGCTGGCAAGAAAAAGTGAAAATATGCAGAGGCCAAAAATGACATGAAGTTACAAATCCAGAGAGATGGGTGAGGGCTGAAACTGGAGCTGCCCGAGAAGTGTCTGCTGACCCAGGTGGCCCAGAGCTTCATTTGAAATGGTCCACCCATGGGAGACTGGAGACACACCGCAGAGTCCCCACGAGGGAGAGAGAGAGGCTGGGAAGAAGATCTGCAACGCATTTAATCAAATAGGATTTGTGTGCAGAATATGTAAAGAATTCCCAAATATTACCAAAACACGAGCACTCAATTAGAAAAATGGACACATACATGAACAGGTTTTTAACAGAAGAAAACATGAATTAACTATATGAAAAAATGCTTAACCTCATTAGTAATCAGGGAAATGCAAATTAAAATCAATGATATGCCTGCACACCTGTTACCGATCTAAAAGGGTTCATCACCTGCTGCGTGGTCCAGCCAGTAAGTCTGCACACCACAATTTGCAGTAGTAAGACCAGCTTTAGTATTGAGTGACCACTTAATGAGAATGAGGCAGCAAATATATAACCTGTAGGTCTATTTCTTTTCTGTTTTTAAAAAGCACGTTGTCTTATAGCCTTGTATGCCTCATCCTTACTGTTTTGGCCTGGCTATTTTTTTTTTTTTCTTTTTGTCTTTTTCACTGACCGGTAACGGGATTGCAACCCTCGGTGTCGCGCCCGTACCGGGGACCGGCAACGGGATCGCAACCCTCGGTGTTGCGTCCGCACCGCGCTCAGCCAGTGAGCGGAAACCGGTCTCCACATGGGATCCGAACCCTTGGCAGGAGCGCCGCCGCGCTCCCAAGCAGCGCACTCTCCAGTGCGCCACCGGGCCGGCCCATGGCCTGGCTATTTTTGACTGAATGCCAAACATTGTAGTTTGAGGCCTAGAAAAGCCTCTTCCTCAAGACAGTGAGGATACTGACCAACCTGGATTACCTCAACCCAACTTCAAGGATTGAAATGATTTGAAGCTGGGCTTCAGTCCCTGAGAACATCAGTCTATTTTCAGTTCCCCTTTACTCTTAAGGTGTAGTCCTTTGGATTCCCAATCTAAAAGGTGGAAGTTTACTTCCCTTTCTTGGTACTCCCTTTCTTGGTGGACAATAATGTCCAATTTTTGTTCCTGTTATGCAACAATGTCAACAGCTATGTCAGCCTTTTAGTTTCCCACCTGCCTCTTCCGGAATTGGCAGATGTGTCCAGGGAAAAAAATCAACCCCCAATTCTGGGCTCACCTCTCTGAGACTCCTTTTCCCAGAAGTTGGCCCTGTTATTTCTCCTGCCTTGTTTCTGCACTTGTTTGGTCTCCAACTTTCAAAACATATTTTAATTTTTCTTTCTTTTTCTTTTTTTGTCTAGCTTTTCTGCTTGTTCTCAGCAGGAATATTTGTCTGAAATGTTTATCGTTGCTGAAATCCCTGCAATTAGCATTTCATTTAAATTGTCTCAAAATGGAGTAGCATGAATATTTTGGCTTCTTTTGAAGTTTCTTATTCAATAAATTTTAAGTGATGGGCAGAATTAAGATCAATTTCCCCAGTGGACAGGAGGGTTAGCTTCCTTTAATCTGAAGGTGAATTTTAGAGGAAGAGTGAAATAAGCCAGACTTAAGAAGGAGAAGGGATGCACTACAGTGGACCACCCTATTTGTCTTCTTTAGGAAATGATGGATTTAATATTAAAAATCCTGTCCTCATAAAGTAAGTAGTAATTGATGTAGTGATGCTGAGATTCTCAGGTAAGACTGGCACACAAACAGAGAATCACTACAGACCAACAATCCATCCAGCCCACTGGCAGGCAGCACAGAAGCAAGGCAACGAGCAGCGTTTGAGTTCATTTTTGGACCAACAGATTTCAAAACATAGAACCCAGATCAGCAGTACGAGCATCATCCAGCAATGCGTTAGAAATATCAATTCTCAGGCTCTAGCCCGGACCTACTGAATCAGAAACTGGGGGTGGGGGGTGGGGGGCCCAATACCCTATTTTTTAACAAGTCCTCCAGAGCATTCCAGGCTCTAGCCCGGACCTACTGAATCAGAAACTGGGGGTGGGGGGTGGGGGGCCCAATACCCTATGTTTTAACAAGTCCTCCAGAGCGTTCTTTTTGTTTTTAATGGCAAAATATGTATAAGGATTGCCAATTTAAGCCTTTTAAACATACAGTTGTGTGGAATTAGTTACATTCACAATGCTGTGCGACCACTACTACTATCTATTCCCCAAATTTTTCATCACCCTAAACAGACTCTGCACCCACTCAGCAATAACTTCTCATCCCTTCACCCCACCTTCTGATAACCTCTATTCTACTTCTGTCTCAGATTGTTTTTTTTTTTTTTCCTTTTTTTTCTTGACCCATGATAATTACATTTATGGCGTATAATGTGATATTTGGGTACATTTATACAGTGTGCAATGATCATATAAGGATATTTAGCATATCCATCCCCTCAAACATTTGTCACCTCTCTGTGCTGGGAACGTTCCACATCCTCTCAAACAGCTACTTGAATACAGTCATTTGTTGTTGACTGTGGTCTCCCTACTCCAGGGTATTCTAATGTGCACGAATCAACCACTGATAGAGACTGCCTCTACCATAAGCACAGATGACTCTTTGCACAAAAACCAGTCTTTTTACAAATACTTCCCATTGTCACTTTCCTCACCAAATACTATTTAACTGACATTGATAAGAATATGTGATCTAACATACTACCGAATCTCTATTATTTCCCCTTACATTTCTCATACTTTTTCGGGAATAAAACACCGGCCATATACTAAGCTGATTCTGAGGTAGTTCTGGTGGCCACTTCCCTGACGTTTCTCTAACACAGCTCTTTCTCCTCGGAGCATGTCCGGGCATTACTCAGACTTGCTGGAGGTGCTCAGGCCTAAAGAGGTTTCTAAACTTTCCTACAAACCATGTGAACCTCATAAAATAGACACAATATACAAATAATTCTGTCATTTATTTATTTTGAATAAAAAATTGGCCAAAATAACAATACTAGTGGCTCTGCATACAAAACACAACATATTCGAGGTTATTTCACATTTACAAAACTGCCATTATGTACAGCACTAGATATTCACAGCAACTTTATTAGACTCTAAGTACTAGAATCATATGAGCAATTGGGGGGGATCCAAAATGAGAAAAAGCTCAAAACCAGTGGTTTTCCTTCATGGATAAATGGCCAACCAGCTAATTGGTAAAGAAACAGAGGATGTTACCCTTTTCTTTAGTAATAACTAAAATAAGATTGCCCCACAGGGTTGTATACCGACAAACAACCACCCTCCCAAAATTTCCATTTCATTTGCTCTGTAATCTTCCCCACTTCAAACTTTTCCCAGAAACCTCAGCCCTAGTATCAGATAAAAGCTCAGAGCACTAGTACATTGTCTTCAGGAAAAGGTTAAGTAGTGCTAAGGATACGGCATGGTCTGGTTCAACCCATGAAAACCAGTTCAAACCCAGGAAAGAACTCTGCCCTCTTCTGGCATTAGTGGCTTTGTAGCATTGAACACACTGGAAAAGTGAACCATGTTTCATCCTGAAGGAGGCAGGAAGTCACTCGCTCATTCTACACGTCATGAGCACCTACCCTGTGCAAGACACTTTGCATTAGGTGCTGTGGCAACAACAAAGATGAAACAATTCCTGCCCTTGAGGAGCTTACAATCTAATGATGAACACTATGTACATACATACAATGGAGAGAAACAGCCAATATTTCTGGATTGGGGGTATTCCAAGCAAAATGTATTATTCATAAAGCTTTAAATTTAAACACTAAAAGCCTAAAACGAACTAAGAATTTAAAAAACAACTCCTTTCTATAACCTTAAGTTTTTAGATGTCTGCTCTTTTTATTTAAAAAATGTCATATGTAAACATACATATAATTCAAAGCCAAGCACAAAGATTAGCATTGGATAAACATAAAATGTATATCACTATACACAACACAGACATTTTCCTATAGTCTTATTTCTGGTTTTTGGGTTTTTATTATTTTTTTTGTGTGTGACTGGCTAGTACAGGGAACTGAACCCTTGACCTCAGTGTTACAAAGCTGTGCTCTAACTAAGTGAGCTAACCAGCCGGCCCATCATATTTCTATATAAACAAGTTTGATATTTACTTTCCTTTCATGCAAAGTACAAATCTGAATCAAAGCCTTGAAATACCTTAATTCTTAGGACAATTGCATTTAATTTTGTATTAGTACCAAATGTGAGAGAAAGAGAGTGAGAAAGCGAGAGACCCCTAAACCCTACCAGTCTGTTCGCTGAGTGTACACTGACAAAGTAGGAAAGGCCCCCATGCCGTCACTATGTCTTACACTGTCCAATCCAACCATGTTCCAGGATATTTTTCTTTATGGATTTCATGATGGTGAGGTAAGCAACTTTAACATTAACAGTAAATACAAGATTTAGAGTTCTGAAATTTAATTCTACCCAACCCACTAGTAGAATTTCGTTTAGTCCATACCTTTATTATTTCGGTATGAGAGTATGATCTTTCCCTTTTTTCAACTCTTCTCAAGCCTAGAATGAATAAATAAGCTCTTAGACCATGTTGGTAAATGATACAATATTGTTCTAAATAAACTCACTGACTAGGACCCCAGGTTTTATACTAAGTCTCTCCCCTATAGTTATGACTCAAAGAAAATGCAAGATAAGAAAAGCTGAACCACTTAATCAAATAAAGTGGTTGGGAGAGAAATACTGATATACTGAAAGAATTAATCTCTTTATAGGACAACTTATAATCAGTCTTCTGTTAAATTTCATTTCTACACCAAGTTTTCAGAAACAGCACCATCTTAAAATCATCTATGCAGACAAGAGGCTGCATTCTATCTACAAGACACAGCCTAGCTAACAAGTCCTGAACTGATTTATACCTGTGCCGTGGAAATGAATTCACAATCTTCCAGAAGGCCTTGCTGCTTCATCAGGATAGTGATGCTATAGTGCTTTAGATAATTAGAAGCAACTCTGTATTTGAGTTTGGCTTAGTTCCATTTAAGGACAGTCAAATTTCACATGCACTATCTTTAAGTTATATAGCAGATACCATGTTAGCGGACATGAAGGAGATTTTAACTTCTAAAACCTCTTTTAGCTTCAAGAAAGAGCAGTTCAAAGTCTAATAACCATGAGAGCCTTGAGACAGTCTAAAATTGAGGCTGCTAGTTGATACTTTCACTAATAACTAAAACGAAAAGAATTCATTTCAGTTAGATTTTTTGAGGCATTTTTAAAATCTGACAAGCTTGAAAGGAAAGGTGAGATGCTTGAGACGCTCCCTAGTCTCTCTGAATTGCTGAACTCCACCAACACACAGGAGAGAGTGTAAGTGCATCAAGATACATCACAATGCATTATAGAAGCCAAGCAGAGACTCAGAACAGTCCATGGTAGGCTCACTGTAGAGATGCATTTATCTGTCTGGCTGTTTACTCCTTGTACTGACTTTGCGTGTAACCCATTCCTTTTGGCTTTAACCAGATTTTTTTGCTTGTGAAGAATAATACTGGCTGGGAAGGAGGTCAGGGAGGACAGGGTGTGGCAAGGAGCTAAAAATCTCACCTCCCTTAGCACAGTCAAGAGTTACTGAGCATCCTGACATGAACATTATAATTATGAGCTTTGAAAAAAACAACAAAAACAAAACAGATACAACTTACCAAGTTGTTAACTATATTACCTTTAGAAAGAAATACGACTATTTCACAGTTTCTTCTAGGGAGACCCACTACACGAATTAGCTTTTAGAAATTTTACCACTAATCCATTTTTCTTTCAAACATGAAATCTGTTAGCTCTGAACATGTCATATAGCTGAGAAAACTAAAGGAGTGGAAATCAAAAGGGCCTCTTTGAGAAGAAAGAGCAAGAGAGAGGTCACGAGCAGAAAGGGATAAGATAGGCCCTATGGAAATCAACCACTGACACAAATTCCTGGTTTCATTCCAGGAATTGTAGCAATTCACCAAATTCTGAGGCAGTTTGCTGCAAGGGAGCAGGTGTTCATAAAACCAATATTGTAATCCTCTTAACAAGCACTGATATGCATCAGTTTCTTTTGTGTCTTATCTGATACCATTACAACAGAATATATTTTAATATTTAATTACCTTTTAACATTCTTTTAACCTAATTAACCTGTTAAATTTGCTAATAGGCCCAACCTACATACTTCAACGTTAACATTCTCAGAAACTTCTTAGAAAAGCAGAAAAATGACACAAACAAGAGCTCCACTGGTGGTTCTAATAACCTCTGACATTGAAAAATAATTGGTAGTTTTGGCAGATGTAATAGGTAGATGCTTGAAGTCTGGGGGGTGGACACATGAGGATTTCAGAATGAATATCAAGCATAACAAGCTATCGATTTCTTATCTAGAATAATAGTAACAAATTAACCCCAGGCAGAGAAAATGGGATACATATGTGACTATCAGACTCCTAAAATGCAACAGTGTTGTAGCTTAAGAGGTCTAATTGTATGGAATCTTTGCTCCTGCACTAAACACCCCAGGCAGAGAAAATGGGATACATATGTGACTATCAGACTCCTAAAATGCAACAGTGTTATAGCTTAAGAGGTCTAATTGTATCGAATCTTTGCTCCTGCACTAAATGCAGTACAGTAACATCACTTCTATTTCTCCTATTCCTGAAAGTTATTACAGTTACAGCTGAAACCAACTTGAAATCTACCAAACAGATCAGGCAAATTTTAGGAAGGTATAGTGTATAAGCTTAAACTAGAAGAAGCAATTAGAAGATTCCTGGTGCCACTCCCACTTTTCCAAGGCTTCACTGACCAACGCACTATCATCAGGTATGCTGACCTTTAAAGAAATTCAGAAGCACACTCTTTGTGTGGCTAACTTTAACTCAGAATCTCCTCTCAAGGGATTGACCTCCATGGATGGGGGGAGAGGGGTTAGGGAAGGAAGGTCTCCCAACTGGGTGTGTAGAAACGCAGCTGAGAGGTGCTGGCTGTATTTCAGTCTTAACGAATGCCACTGGGCCAAGCCACAGCAGAGAGAATCCATGTTCAAGTAAAGTATTTGCCATGTTTGCCCCTATAGAGACATATGAAAATACTTTGGGAGATCCTTTTTAGTTTCTCCTAATAGCTAGTTTTTCTCAAAAATGCACAACTGCTATAAATAAAGACTTAATGTAAGGTTTAAATGGCAGCAGCACAAAATTCCCCAATAACAACGAATCTTTACTGACTGATTAGGAACAAAAAAGTGAAACTAAGCATGCCATGATTACTAAAAATGCAATAATTCCTTGACATGATCTCAATTTTTACTGTCATTTATTGTAAAATGAAACAGCTGCAGGCACAAATGACTTCAACTAATACAACATTCTCAATTGTGTTATTCATGATTTCAATGCTGCCTGGTTCTTTCTTGAAAATCAATTTAACATGCGGACCCTGAAGTCTAGATAAACACTATTCTTGAAATTATCACCAAAATGAGAAAAATAAGCAGAAGACTCCAGCAGATACTTAATTAAACACATGAGACAAAACAATTTGAATAAGAAACAAAGACATTTCAGAGCAGACTGTTTGGAAGTGCCTCTTAGGGCTCTTGTCTCCACTGTCTATGGGGAAGAAAGAGCACAAGTGTGCATGGGGTATGACTCCCTTACAGTGTTCTCCAAATAGGAAGATGTTATTTACAAAGTGAGGACAAAATGGCTTTCATTAAGGATACAAAATAAAAGCAGGAAATTACATGAGAGTAAAGGTGAAAAAGATAGCACAATATATGAATTAAGAATTTCATATTTTGTATTTCCTATCCAACTTTCCAGAAACATGCACTATTGCAAGATGTGTGCATTAGTCATGTTGATTAGCACCAATCCCCTAGGACACTTATTTCAAAAATCCAAGAACACTGCAATTCCAGAATGCCTATTTTAGGTTTTGATTAACAGCAATGAATCAAATTGACAAAATTTGACATTTGACATTTCCTCTTAACAGCCCCAGAAAAATACCTGTATTCCAAATATCAAAGACCTTTGTAGACAGAGTAAATTCCCAGCTCTGTTCAACTAAACTGCACATGCTTGTAGCACCAGAGCTCAAGGATCTCCACTTCCAAATGGCCCATCTCTCTCCAGACAGACTTCTACCTTGGATACTAAATGGAATGTCTAAATGTCAATATTAAAAATACTAAGTTTTAATTTAACAATAAAAGAAGAAAACAATTTTTTTTCTTCTATGTACAAAGACCTCATCCAGGTTATTACAGTTAAGTTTGAAGCAGGGCTGTGACACAGGTGAACTGGAATACTTGACATCTTTATATGTATTAAGGAGTTGGGTCAGAAAATCTGACGACATAGGAGAGAAAAATAAATCACAATTATTAACTTATAATAGTCACCTGATCATTTGACGCATTAAAACCAACTTTAGTTTTGGCTTCAACTTCTTAAAAACAGTTTTAGGAAAATGTTCTCAATATACATGAAAAACAAGACTTGGCAGGACACAGATCTGCAGCTACTTACTGAGAACAAAACATCAGCTCACTCGTTGTTTTTGACACTTTTAATATCTGTTGGAACATCGAATGCCATATACCAGGCAATTTAAGCTCTCTGGAGTCACAAGGCAGTTCTAGGCCAAAGCAAGGATTAAAACCTAACTCAGCCCAGCAAGGCCCTTATCCAAACTCAAGAAGAGACCATTCTGTTCCTAGAAATGATAGGACATTCTTTTTGTTCAGACTGCTTCAGTCTAGACATTTGAAAAATAAGTGTTCCTTTATTGGGTGAGGAATCAGGGACTAACGTTCATCTCAAAACAACTCAAACTTCCTGCATTCGGTCACTTACAGAGATATACTTTAGTCCCTGGAGATGGTGAGTGCCCTTCAGAAATGAGCTCCCAGGACCCTCTTTATAATCGAGAAGAGCACCTCTCCACTTGAAAGGGCCAGACTTCCTCCAGCGCATCCTCTCAGGCTAGGAGATGTTTTCTATAGCAGAGTTCATGACCTTTCATCTTCCCACCACTGACATTTAGAAGACAGGAGAATCACAGAAAGGGCAGGGGCTTTGCAGTAACCTCTTAATCCAGTCAGGATCTGCAAAAGGAAGACAAGTGTTACCAAGCATTAGTTTCAGAAAAGGAGGTAAGATGGGATGAGCATCAGACTGCAGTGTGAAGAGATGGGCATTCCCAGCTCTGCATCAAACCAACTGTGTGTCAGGGACAAAGCACTTCACTCCTTGGGGTTTTGGTTTCCAACATTCTAAATGAGGCAGGGTTAAATTTGTGGTCACCAAAGCTAAGTGTGTGATGAAATTTTCTTCCTTCTGTGATAAAATAGGGAAATAAGGGTAATGAATGAATGTTCCATAAAGCACAATTTATTCAATTTGCAAACAGGACTAAGCTTTGTTCTGAGAGTGTATCCTTCATACATTGTTCATGTTAAAGTATCCTCTTACAAAATTACAGTAACAGTCATTTTTTTAAAAATGCCATTAGAGAAATAGAAATGTGGCAACNTTGTTCTGAGAGTGTATCCTTCATACATTGTTCATGTTAAAGTATCCTCTTACAAAATTACGGTAACAGTCATTTTTTAAAAATGCCATTAGAGAAATAGAAATGTGGCAACGCTGGGTCAATACCTCCTCCCGCTGGGTCTGTGAAATGCTCTACTAATACTCTCTGCACACCCAGTAGCTTCTCATTCTTCCCAAAGCTATAAGTGGCTCAACTCAAAGTCAACAGGGAGGTTTCATTGTTTTAAAGTTTCAATCTTCTCCAGATTTCCTGCCTAATAGTATATCAATTCTCAATTGCAGTGATTGTTTAAAAGTTCCCAAAAATGTGTTTCAAAATAATCCAATAGGAGAAGGGAGGTGGGCAGGGGACTACAGATGAAACAGAAAAAGCTGTTGAGTTGATAATTTTTGAAGCTGAGTGATGGGTACCTAGGTGTTTATTATATTCTTCTCTTTACTTGTATGTATGAATGATTGTGCTTCATAATAAAAAGTTAAAACAGAACACAAGCTGCTGACACATTAGCTTCTGAGAATTAGAGAACTTCAGCCAGTTTAGAGCAAAAAAATCAAGAATAAGGATGTAGTCTTATGAGAATGCCTTTATTTTTAGTTGAGACCACAAATTCTCCCCAAACATATACATGATTATATATGCTTGTGTCTAGCTCATTTGGTTTGAATGTAATGTTAATGAACCTGAGGTCAAAATTTGACATTTGCACAGCTATTACATCACTACTTCCTTGCCCATGTTATTGGGCAATCTTATTTCCAGCTAGTTACCTCAGAAATAGAAATGTATGCTTTGTCACTAGGGCTATGAGGAAGGAGAATATAGATCAACCAGGAAAAACCCATCATGGCTACTAGCAGAATGACTCCAAGTGCATATCTTATTACTAATTGACCAATGTTGTCTTTGTAAACAATATCATTTGCAGAGTCTCATTCAAATATAATCTATATATGCCATCTAAAATAAGCTCTGACATTTTTTAATTTGCAAACAGGACTAAGCTTTGTTCTGAGAGTGTATCCTTCATACATTGTTCATGTTAAAGTATCCTCTTACAAAATTACAGTAACAGTCATTTTTTTAAAAATGCCATTAGAGAAATAGAAATGTGGCAACGCTGGGTCAATACCTCCTCCCGCTGGGTCTGTGAAATGCTCTACTAATACTCTCTGCACACCCAGTAGCTTCTCATTCTTCCCAAAGCTATAAGTGGCTCAACTCAAAGTCAACAGGGAGGTTTCATTGTTTTAAAGTTTCAATCTTCTCCAGATTTCCTGCCTAATAGTATATCAATTCTCAATTGCAGTGATTGTTTAAAAGTTCCCAAAAATGTGTTTCAAAATAATCCAATAGGAGAAGGGAGGTGGGCAGGGGACTACAGATGAAACAGAAAAAGCTGTTGAGTTGATAATTTTTGAAGCTGAGTGATGGGTACCTAGGTGTTTATTATATTCTTCTCTTTACTTGTATGTATGAATGATTGTGCTTCATAATAAAAAGTTAAAACAGAACACAAGCTGCTGACACATTAGCTTCTGAGAATTAGAGAACTTCAGCCAGTTTAGAGCAAAAAAATCAAGAATAAGGATGTAGTCTTATGAGAATGCCTTTATTTTTAGTTGAGACCACAAATTCTCCCCAAACATATACATGATTATATATGCTTGTGTCTAGCTCATTTGGTTTGAATGTAATGTTAATGAACCTGAGGTCAAAATTTGACATTTGCACAGCTATTACATCACTACTTCCTTGCCCATGTTATTGGGCAATCTTATTTCCAGCTAGTTACCTCAGAAATAGAAATGTATGCTTTGTCACTAGGGCTATGAGGAAGGAGAATATAGATCAACCAGGAAAAACCCATCATGGCTACTAGCAGAATGACTCCAAGTGCATATCTTATTACTAATTGACCAATGTTGTCTTTGTAAACAATATCATTTGCAGAGTCTCATTCAAATATAATCTATATATGCCATCTAAAATAAGCTCTGACATTTTTTTGGAATGAATAATTTGTTTGCAGTGACAGAACAGCAACTGCAGACCCACTTAACTCCCATACTAAAATGCAATATGTACTTTAACATGACATATTCCAATTACCATTTTTTAATTAGCTGTGGCTTCCTAATAACACTGTAAATAAAGAGCAGCACGAGCCTGCTCTCCGTCCCTGACGGCACAATGCTAAGCAGTGCAGAGTGTGACCCGAGCCATTATTCTGGGGTGCTGGCTCTGTGCCAGCATGCTCCATCCACCCTCCCACAGATGGGAAAGCACTCACCTTCTGGAGCGGGATGTCGGGCAATGCTGTCATGGAGCAAACACCTTCTGTATATCAAACTCTGGCAGGACTGGTAGGTTAAAAAGCACCTGAAAGAAGACAGATTGTACCATCAAGGGAGAGGACTTGCTCAGAGAAAGCTGTAAGGTGTGGAGGCTAACTCCACTGCAGACAGTTACTCTAAAACCACACAAACCAAGTGAAAGTGTAACACTTCACAAATTCCTGGCAACAATGTATGCCTCTGTGCACCAAAGCAGGTCAAACCGCCACCACCCCACACTTAAGTAAAGGGGAAGTGGCTGGGTCATGGCACATAGTATGCGAAGAGGTGCAAAGCTTCTCAGCCAGACAGCCACTGCAGTTTCTTTCTTGTCAGGTTTGCAGCAGTGGGAAAGAATTTAGTCTGTCTGTACCTGGCTGTATTTTGAATTTTTTTTTTTTCCTTTTTGTCTTTTTTTCGTGTCCGGCAATGGATCGCAACCCTCAGTGTTGCACCCGTACCGGACCGGGACCGGCAACGGGATCGCAACCCTCGGTGTTGCTCCCACACCTCACTCAGCCAGTGAGCGGGAACCGGTCTGTATGTGGGATCCAAACCCTCGGCAGGAGCGCCACCGCGCTCCCAAGTGGTGCACTG